ACTATAGATCAGAGACACATGTGCAGGACACGGGTGATAGGTGACAATATAGATCAGAGACACATGTGCAGGACACGGGTGATAGGTGACTATAGATCAGAGACACATGTGCAGGACACGGGTGATAGGTGACACTATAGATCAGAGACACATGTGCAGGACACGGGTGATAGGTGACACTATAGATCAGAGACACATGTGCAGGACACGGGTGATAGGTGACACTATAGATCAGAGACACATGTGCAGGACACGGGTGATATGTGGTCGGAGGAGCGATCATGGAGCCGGAGATAATACTGCGGGTCGGTGGTGCGGAAGGTCTCATACTTTCGGGGGGCCCCCTTGCCCCCTCCCCCCGATATCCCATTCTCCGATCCCTCATAATAAAGTCTGATAATAGGAAGGATGGGAAGTGGAGGATGAGAACGTCGGACGCACATCTCACACGCGGTAACACCAAGCGAGAGGAGAAATGTGTGCTGTATTCCCATCATTGTATACATAGAAGATGCTGAGAGTCGTAGTCCCTGGGATACGGAGTTCCTGGATCCACCCTGAAGGTCTGTCTGGGATGAGTAGTTCTCTTCCTGGTCACTATGGAGGGAGGTTGCAGGCTGTGAAGACATTGATGACTGTCCATGGACAATGACGAAGCTCATTACTGCAAATGTCCCATTGCGGGGATGTCTGGGGGCCACATTGTAGGGGGAGAGGACTCGGGGCCCCCGGATCTCCATGGATCTGGTACTGGGAGAGGCCAGCTCCGTATTTCTTGTCAGGAAGATGAAATGTCGCAAAATACAAACTGCGCCGACCGATCTTCACTAAACCATCGTTTCCATGGATACGAATCCAACTTCGGCGTCACATGATCACACTGGGGTCAGGTGATCATACTCAGTCTCAGGGGATCATACTCAGTGTCAGGGGATCACTGTCGTTGTCAGGTGATCACGCTTGGGGTCAGATGATCACACTCAGGGTCAGGTGATCATACTCAGTGTCAGGTGATCACACTCAGGGACAGATGATCACTGTCAGTGTTAGGTGATCACACTCGGGGTCAGGTGATCACACTCGGGGTCAGGTGATCACACTCAGGGTCAGGTGATCATGCGCGCATAGCGTTTTTGCAGAATACTCGTCGAGTTTGACACTTGCTGAATGTCGTTACAATGCAGCTGTACAGAAGCTCCGCCACTCTTTGTGTTTTGCAGTCTAACGCCGTCTGGTGGAAATCTCCAACTTGCAAGTACCCGGCACCCGGCAGTGAGCTAGTTGGAGATTTCGACGAGTTGGTGCTTTCCATACACCGTTCTCGAGCCGCCCAGCGTTTTACACGTTGCACTGTGTTCCCGCCCCCATCACCATGACAGCACACTGAAGGCGGAGCGGCGTCCTAAGCAGCCAATCAGCGTCCACCTCCCCGGCTGGTTTAAACTCGGCCAATCAACGTGCTCCTCCAGTGTTGTGCTCAGGTGGACGAGTTTGGCTGTCAGTATGGCGGCCGCCGTGTCCGTTATTGGTGTCGGGGAACTGGACGGAGGGGCATGGGCGTCCACCGACGAGGATGAGGGGGAGGTGTTCGTTACCGAGGAGGAGCGGGGGCCCCGACTGGAGCCCCAGGAGGTCCGGAGCCGAGTGGAGAGGATGAAGAGGGAGGTGAGGAACCGGAGGAAGATCCTCATCAAAGGCCTCCCGGCGGACGTCAGCAACCAGGTGAGGGCCACGTGTGTCCAGAGCTGAGTGGCCCCTGTGTGTCCTGTCTGTGCGCAGAGCTGAGGGGCCCCTGTGTGGCCTGTCTGCGCGCAGAGGTGAGGGGCCCCTGTGTGTCCTGTCTGTGCGCAGAGCTGAGGGGCCCCTGTGTGGCCTGTCTGCGCGCAGAGGTGAGGGGCCCCTGTGTGGCCTGTCTGCGCGCAGAGGTGAGGGGCCCCTGTGTGGCCTGTCTGCGCGCAGAGGTGAGGGGCCCCTGTGTGGCCTGTCTGCGCGCAGAGGTGAGGGGCCCCTGTGTGGCCTGTCTGCGCGCAGAGGTGAGGGGCCCCTGTGTGGCCTGTCTGCGCGCAGAGGTGAGGGGCCCCTGTGTGGCCTGTCTGCGCGCAGAGGTGAGGGGCCCCTGTGTGGCCTGTCTGCGCGCAGAGGTGAGGGGCCCCTGTGTGGCCTGTCTGCGCGCAGAGGTGAGGGGCCCCTGTGTGGCCTGTCTGCGCGCAGAGGTGAGGGGCCCCTGTGTGGCCTGTCTGCGCGCAGAGGTGAGGGGCCCCTGTGTGGCCTGTCTGCGCGCAGAGGTGAGGGGCCCCTGTGTGGCCTGTCTGCGCGCAGAGGTGAGGGGCCCCTGTGTGGCCTGTCTGCGCGCAGAGGTGAGGGGCCCCTGTGTGGCCTGTCTGCGCGCAGAGGTGAGGGGCCCCTGTGTGGCCTGTCTGCGCGCAGAGGTGAGGGGCCCCTGTGTGGCCTGTCTGCGCGCAGAGGTGAGGGGCCCCTGTGTGGCCTGTCTGCGCGCAGAGGTGAGGGGCCCCTGTGTGGCCTGTCTGCGCGCAGAGGTGAGGGGCCCCTGTGTGGCCTGTCTGCGCGCAGAGGTGAGGGGCCCCTGTGTGGCCTGTCTGCGCGCAGAGGTGAGGGGCCCCTGTGTGGCCTGTCTGCGCGCAGAGGTGAGGGGCCCCTGTGTGGCCTGTCTGCGCGCAGAGGTGAGGGGCCCCTGTGTGGCCTGTCTGCGCGCAGAGGTGAGGGGCCCCTGTGTGGCCTGTCTGCGCGCAGAGGTGAGGGGCCCCTGTGTGGCCTGTCTGCGCGCAGAGGTGAGGGGCCCCTGTGTGGCCTGTCTGCGCGCAGAGGTGAGGGGCCCCTGTGTGGCCTGTCTGCGCGCAGAGGTGAGGGGCCCCTGTGTGGCCTGTCTGCGCGCAGAGGTGAGGGGCCCCTGTGTGGCCTGTCTGCGCGCAGAGGTGAGGGGCCCCTGTGTGGCCTGTCTGCGCGCAGAGGTGAGGGGCCCCTGTGTGGCCTGTCTGCGCGCAGAGGTGAGGGGCCCCTGTGTGGCCTGTCTGCGCGCAGAGGTGAGGGGCCCCTGTGTGGCCTGTCTGCGCGCAGAGGTGAGGGGCCCCTGTGTGGCCTGTCTGCGCGCAGAGGTGAGGGGCCCCTGTGTGGCCTGTCTGCGCGCAGAGGTGAGGGGCCCCTGTGTGGCCTGTCTGCGCGCAGAGGTGAGGGGCCCCTGTGTGGCCTGTCTGCGCGCAGAGGTGAGGGGCCCCTGTGTGGCCTGTCTGCGCGCAGAGGTGAGGGGCCCCTGTGTGGCCTGTCTGCGCGCAGAGGTGAGGGGCCCCTGTGTGGCCTGTCTGCGCGCAGAGGTGAGGGGCCCCTGTGTGGCCTGTCTGCGCGCAGAGGTGAGGGGCCCCTGTGTGGCCTGTCTGCGCGCAGAGGTGAGGGGCCCCTGTGTGGCCTGTCTGCGCGCAGAGGTGAGGGGCCCCTGTGTGGCCTGTCTGCGCGCAGAGGTGAGGGGCCCCTGTGTGGCCTGTCTGCGCGCAGAGGTGAGGGGCCCCTGTGTGGCCTGTCTGCGCGCAGAGGTGAGGGGCCCCTGTGTGGCCTGTCTGCGCGCAGAGGTGAGGGGCCCCTGTGTGGCCTGTCTGCGCGCAGAGGTGAGGGGCCCCTGTGTGGCCTGTCTGCGCGCAGAGGTGAGGGGCCCCTGTGTGGCCTGTCTGCGCGCAGAGGTGAGGGGCCCCTGTGTGGCCTGTCTGCGCGCAGAGGTGAGGGGCCCCTGTGTGGCCTGTCTGCGCGCAGAGGTGAGGGGCCCCTGTGTGGCCTGTCTGCGCGCAGAGGTGAGGGGCCCCTGTGTGGCCTGTCTGCGCGCAGAGGTGAGGGGCCCCTGTGTGGCCTGTCTGCGCGCAGAGGTGAGGGGCCCCTGTGTGGCCTGTCTGCGCGCAGAGGTGAGGGGCCCCTGTGTGGCCTGTCTGCGCGCAGAGGTGAGGGGCCCCTGTGTGGCCTGTCTGCGCGCAGAGGTGAGGGGCCCCTGTGTGGCCTGTCTGCGCGCAGAGGTGAGGGGCCCCTGTGTGGCCTGTCTGCGCGCAGAGGTGAGGGGCCCCTGTGTGGCCTGTCTGCGCGCAGAGGTGAGGGGCCCCTGTGTGGCCTGTCTGCGCGCAGAGGTGAGGGGCCCCTGTGTGGCCTGTCTGCGCGCAGAGGTGAGGGGCCCCTGTGTGGCCTGTCTGCGCGCAGAGGTGAGGGGCCCCTGTGTGGCCTGTCTGCGCGCAGAGGTGAGGGGCCCCTGTGTGGCCTGTCTGCGCGCAGAGGTGAGGGGCCCCTGTGTGGCCTGTCTGCGCGCAGAGGTGAGGGGCCCCTGTGTGGCCTGTCTGCGCGCAGAGGTGAGGGGCCCCTGTGTGGCCTGTCTGCGCGCAGAGGTGAGGGGCCCCTGTGTGGCCTGTCTGCGCGCAGAGGTGAGGGGCCCCTGTGTGGCCTGTCTGCGCGCAGAGGTGAGGGGCCCCTGTGTGGCCTGTCTGCGCGCAGAGGTGAGGGGCCCCTGTGTGGCCTGTCTGCGCGCAGAGGTGAGGGGCCCCTGTGTGGCCTGTCTGCGCGCAGAGGTGAGGGGCCCCTGTGTGGCCTGTCTGCGCGCAGAGGTGAGGGGCCCCTGTGTGGCCTGTCTGCGCGCAGAGGTGAGGGGCCCCTGTGTGGCCTGTCTGCGCGCAGAGGTGAGGGGCCCCTGTGTGGCCTGTCTGCGCGCAGAGGTGAGGGGCCCCTGTGTGGCCTGTCTGCGCGCAGAGGTGAGGGGCCCCTGTGTGGCCTGTCTGCGCGCAGAGGTGAGGGGCCCCTGTGTGGCCTGTCTGCGCGCAGAGGTGAGGGGCCCCTGTGTGGCCTGTCTGCGCGCAGAGGTGAGGGGCCCCTGTGTGGCCTGTCTGCGCGCAGAGGTGAGGGGCCCCTGTGTGGCCTGTCTGCGCGCAGAGGTGAGGGGCCCCTGTGTGGCCTGTCTGCGCGCAGAGGTGAGGGGCCCCTGTGTGGCCTGTCTGCGCGCAGAGGTGAGGGGCCCCTGTGTGGCCTGTCTGCGCGCAGAGGTGAGGGGCCCCTGTGTGGCCTGTCTGCGCGCAGAGGTGAGGGGCCCCTGTGTGGCCTGTCTGCGCGCAGAGGTGAGGGGCCCCTGTGTGGCCTGTCTGCGCGCAGAGGTGAGGGGCCCCTGTGTGGCCTGTCTGCGCGCAGAGGTGAGGGGCCCCTGTGTGGCCTGTCTGCGCGCAGAGGTGAGGGGCCCCTGTGTGGCCTGTCTGCGCGCAGAGGTGAGGGGCCCCTGTGTGGCCTGTCTGCGCGCAGAGGTGAGGGGCCCCTGTGTGGCCTGTCTGCGCGCAGAGGTGAGGGGCCCCTGTGTGGCCTGTCTGCGCGCAGAGGTGAGGGGCCCCTGTGTGGCCTGTCTGCGCGCAGAGGTGAGGGGCCCCTGTGTGGCCTGTCTGCGCGCAGAGGTGAGGGGCCCCTGTGTGGCCTGTCTGCGCGCAGAGGTGAGGGGCCCCTGTGTGGCCTGTCTGCGCGCAGAGGTGAGGGGCCCCTGTGTGGCCTGTCTGCGCGCAGAGGTGAGGGGCCCCTGTGTGGCCTGTCTGCGCGCAGAGGTGAGGGGCCCCTGTGTGGCCTGTCTGCGCGCAGAGGTGAGGGGCCCCTGTGTGGCCTGTCTGCGCGCAGAGGTGAGGGGCCCCTGTGTGGCCTGTCTGCGCGCAGAGGTGAGGGGCCCCTGTGTGGCCTGTCTGCGCGCAGAGGTGAGGGGCCCCTGTGTGGCCTGTCTGCGCGCAGAGGTGAGGGGCCCCTGTGTGGCCTGTCTGCGCGCAGAGGTGAGGGGCCCCTGTGTGGCCTGTCTGCGCGCAGAGGTGAGGGGCCCCTGTGTGGCCTGTCTGCGCGCAGAGGTGAGGGGCCCCTGTGTGGCCTGTCTGCGCGCAGAGGTGAGGGGCCCCTGTGTGGCCTGTCTGCGCGCAGAGGTGAGGGGCCCCTGTGTGGCCTGTCTGCGCGCAGAGGTGAGGGGCCCCTGTGTGGCCTGTCTGCGCGCAGAGGTGAGGGGCCCCTGTGTGGCCTGTCTGCGCGCAGAGGTGAGGGGCCCCTGTGTGGCCTGTCTGCGCGCAGAGGTGAGGGGCCCCTGTGTGGCCTGTCTGCGCGCAGAGGTGAGGGGCCCCTGTGTGGCCTGTCTGCGCGCAGAGGTGAGGGGCCCCTGTGTGGCCTGTCTGCGCGCAGAGGTGAGGGGCCCCTGTGTGGCCTGTCTGCGCGCAGAGGTGAGGGGCCCCTGTGTGGCCTGTCTGCGCGCAGAGGTGAGGGGCCCCTGTGTGGCCTGTCTGCGCGCAGAGGTGAGGGGCCCCTGTGTGGCCTGTCTGCGCGCAGAGGTGAGGGGCCCCTGTGTGGCCTGTCTGCGCGCAGAGGTGAGGGGCCCCTGTGTGGCCTGTCTGCGCGCAGAGGTGAGGGGCCCCTGTGTGGCCTGTCTGCGCGCAGAGGTGAGGGGCCCCTGTGTGGCCTGTCTGCGCGCAGAGGTGAGGGGCCCCTGTGTGGCCTGTCTGCGCGCAGAGGTGAGGGGCCCCTGTGTGGCCTGTCTGCGCGCAGAGGTGAGGGGCCCCTGTGTGGCCTGTCTGCGCGCAGAGGTGAGGGGCCCCTGTGTGGCCTGTCTGCGCGCAGAGGTGAGGGGCCCCTGTGTGGCCTGTCTGCGCGCAGAGGTGAGGGGCCCCTGTGTGGCCTGTCTGCGCGCAGAGGTGAGGGGCCCCTGTGTGGCCTGTCTGCGCGCAGAGGTGAGGGGCCCCTGTGTGGCCT